AACCGATTGTTTTGCAAAAAATTAACTTTTTTTTTTTGTAATAAGTCCCTTTTAACCTGTTTTTATAAATAAAAAATTAATATTAATATAAATTTGCCTATTTTCTAATCTTTAGACTTTAAAATATTTTAAAAAATTTCATAAAACCTTATAATATATGGAGTGATGTACACGTAGAGAGTGAATAGTGCGCAGAATTGCCAGAAAGAACTGGAGTGTTCTTGGAGCAATAGTTGGCATTTATTTATTTATTTTATTTGAACGTGGGATTCACTGTTTAGATCCCCATTTTTGGGTAAGCACGGGCAAGAGCGAGGGTGTGGCATGCATGCCTTGAAATTTGTTTAATAAATTAAGACATACAAAAATTCCAAACCCTAATATTTATACTAGAAAAATTGTTTTTTTCTTTTTAGTTTTTATTTATAAATTTTTTTATTATTTGGTTTAATACGAAAAAATTTAAAATTAAACACAAAATTTTCAATAATTTAATTATAATATTTTTTGAACCTTTTTGTATTTTTTTTTTCTTTCAACAATTGAAAGACAAATACTATAAGGAGAAAAATAGTAAAATATATATTTTTATAGTTATATTTTTTATATGATTTTTTTAAATAACTAAATAAAAATTTAATTTTTTTAACAAATCAAATATCACGATAAATTGATATTTCTTCTTCCATAATAAAAAATGGGAAATCTAAAACTTCAAACGAACCACGCACACCCAAAACCCTTGGTGTGTTTGGGTTATTGATTTGAGTACTCACCCACTCCTTAACTAAACGGACTAAATTAGACAGACGGTCCCATGTCGGCGAACGAACAGAGACCGACCAGGGTATGTCGGCTCGGTTTGGTTGGTTTTGAAATTTGCTATCAAGTAAACTAAAAGGTCTAACCAACCACATCTAACCACGTGCCGCTCCATCTCTCATCTATGGTCTTATGGTTGGGCCCCGCCCCACGTATTGGTCCCATCTTCGGAAAGAATATTAAATTTAATTATGTAATTTTGTAATTATTTTAAAGTATTTACCAAAAATTTTACTTTTAAAAGTTCATAAATATCCTTTTAAACATAAATAATAATTATAAATATTAAATTGAAAGAAAATCAATCAATATTTATATCTAAAATAATATTTATATTTTTTAAAAGTAAAAATTTCAATAAATATTTCATTTAAATATTGATTATAGGATAAGTGTTATAAATTTAAGATATATAAGAAAAAAGTCTCTTTTATATGTTTTTAGTATTTATGTGCTAAAATTTAAGATACCGTTCTTTTACCACATTGAAATTATATATTTTTTAAATTGAAACATATATCTGAGTCATGATATTTTAGAAGTAATTGAGACACTATTTTTTAATATTTGTATATATTTTTAAGATATATATTTTTTAAATCGTGTTCTTTTATATATTATTTTTGATACAGGAGGTCACATGAAAAAATTAGTATATTAGATGTTGATATGAATAAAAGAATAAATTAAAAAGACTAATACAGAGATTAAATGCAAAAATTAAGAGATCAATTATTAATATATATATCTACATATATATGTAGATATACACATACATATATACATACATATATATAGAGAGAGGGATAGAGAGAGAGAGAGAGAGAGGGAGAGAGAGTTGCATTTATATAAAAAAATAAAAGAAAGAAATGAATATATATTTTAATAGAAATAAAGTAAGTGCCCTCGAGATTGAGCATAGCTCTGAAATTGTGTTCAATCCATTTTATCTGCTAGTTTGATCAGGGGTAAGGCTCTCAATTGATAATTTTTTAATCTTAATTCGATCTGAATTTTATTATTCAAATTTTATTAAAATATTTAATGATCAGATTCAAATACAAATATTTATAATTTGAAATAAGTAGATTAGATATAAAATTAAATTATTTAATCCATTAAGAATTCGAATTTGAATTTTGATAATATTTTTTTATCAAATTAATAAAATTAAATATAATATTATTAAATTTAAAATTGTAAGAATTATATTGAAAAAATCATAAAATTCAAAGATTAATGTGATAGATAGAATAAAATGTAAGAGTTTAAGTATGAAAATCCAATTTGTTGAGAGACGAGACTTTTCCAGTAGAATGAGATTTTGATTTATTCATTGAATTTAAATATAGTTTAATAGATATTTTAAATTAGGTTTAAATATAAAAATGGAATGTTAATTTGATTTAAGTTTGATTATTCTAGATTTAGATATGAAAATGGTTAATTTGATCCAAATCCAGTTTGGTAATAGTGCTCATTAGAGGGTAAAGGATTGGGAACTAGATAGTAAATTTCCACCTCCAGCTATAATTCTTTATTTGGTAAAGCTTAGTAAAAAATTAATAATCTAGTAATTTATTAAAGTGTAGGATTAGGTAATAATACTTTATATAAGACATTATATAATATTATTTTCTCTCTTAATATTTTTAATTTATTATGTTTATACCTTATATTATATAATTTTTAATTAAAATACAATATATTTATATAAACAAAATTACATATTTAAATTTAATTTATCTATTATTATTTTGTTTTGCCATTTATAATTTTATATTTTTTAACATTAATATTCGTATTCCTTCACAAATGACAAACAAAACAAGTAACTTCATCCTTAAATAGAACAATTTATCGCTATTTTATTCATAATTTATTTAATTTTTATATAAGTTATTAAATTAATTTAAAATAATGAGCAGCTTTCCTTTTATAATTAATTAATTACGTAGTAACATACTAGCATACTTACTTTATATTTATAGATTTCGGAGTTATGCCGCCGTTAAATCAAAAATCCCTCTAGTATACATAATTAGATTTAGACCTTTTAAGTCTTATATTTTAGATAATCGCCCGTCAAGAATAATTTTGTGATTTGTAGAACCACTAAATTTCTTTCTACAACAAAGTGTTGATAGAATTGTCAATAAATTAAATTTTTAATTTGAATCTGATTTAAATTCTACCTCAATTTTAGTGTTCAAATTCGATTAAAATTTTCAATAGATTGGACCTTACTGTAAAAATTTGTAGTTAAAAATAAATAAATTGAATATAAAATTAAATAGTCTGATTTGTTAAACATCTAAATCTAAATTTTTAATAATATTTATTAAATTAATAATTATATATTATATTATTAATAAATTTAAACTTGTAAGAATTAAATTAAATTAGCAAAGTCAAAAAATTGATAGACTAATATGATTGATAGAATAGAATTAAGAGATTTGAATGTAAAAAATTATTTTTTTATTGGATAAGATTTTCTTATCGAAATTTAGATTATTTATTGGATTCGAATATGGTTTAACAGACACAAATTGTATAAAATTTTAAATCAAATTTAAATATGAAAATAGATAAATAAATTTAAATTTAAATTTATATTTATATTTATCTAATTTAATTCAAATCAGACTTGTTTACACTATTACATGTTGATATGTCAAAGAGTTTAAAAGGTAAAAGAAAAATTGAATAAAAAGTACACATTTCTGAAAGCATCATTTATTTTATTTGACCATAGTTGTCAGAAAGTCTAATATTTTGTTTAATTAAATTTTAACTCATCTAATCTCCAAAGTACTACTATTCATAAATATACGTGGACACCATTAAATTTTGAAAATGCATTTATATATTTCAAGATTAGTAGAAAAATATCTTTCGTAACTAAGTCTAAAAATTTATTATATTTTTTTAACCAAACAATCGTATAGTTTAAGTGGATATTTTACAGATTGAAAAAGAAAGAATGCATATCCGCAAAGATCAGAAATCAGGTGCACGGAAGCGCGCAACGTGGGTCGGCGATCACAGCTCGAGCGGGTCCCCCCGACACGGCGATGTTCGAGCATTTTAAGGTTCCGACAAACGACTTAATTTGATTGGATCTCTCCCAATCTGTACTTAATTTTGTGTCTAGTATTGAAGGTTAACTTTTATCAAATGTTCGATGTGGCTCATGTACTTTTAAAATGTTCAATTAAACCCTTCTAACCTTGGAAATGAAGTCGTTAGCCCCAACTTTCACCGACACTAACATCAAAATATGACTTGTACTTTAATTTTAAGACTTATTATATTAGTTGTGAGCTTTTTCTTCGCTTTCTTTTTCCTTTAAACTATAGTGGCTTCAGCACGTGCCATTTAATTGGGCTGTATAATCAGTAGCACTATACTGAGAAAAGGTTAACAAAGCGACCAAGACTCCACCCATTCTCAAGAACGTGGGCTTATTAGTGACTGTTTTAAGAGTACGGGGGTACGTTCACGATTTCATGAAAGTTTGAGGGTTATAAATAAATTTCTTTTAGAATTCATTCTATCAAATCGTTCAATTAATGCGAGAATTGGATCCGTTGCGCAGCTGAAAGATCTTTTCTTCTCTCTCCGTCTAGTCAACCTCAAGTTGTGACACTAATTTTGAAACTGAAACTTTAAATTTTTGGTGGGAAAAGTAAAGCTGAGCCGCCATCTGCTCATACACGGACGGCTCGGATTTCACAAATGGACTACTCTATTCCTATTTCGGCATGGACAGAGAAAATCCAAACCTAATCTCTGCTGGAAATTGGAGAGAGAATCTGTGGTGTTCGTGGAAGGAGGAAGGCCAGTCATTGAATTGCGTGTCCCCTGCTCTACTTCTCGGATTTTAAATTTAATTTCTCCAATAAAAACTCTCTGTCTCTCTGTCTCTCCCCCTCCCCCGGGGAATAATCCAAGTCCTTATTCTCTCCTGTCCTGAGTTATCTTCGTTTTGGATAAAGCTTGGATAAAATAAAAGATTTACACGACCATATGGAATTTGGTGCCTTAATTCTTTTCGTCAACTTTCAATTGGCTTCTCCATTTATAGTTCGGAAGAAAAACCATTGATGTACCCGGATATTTTGCGCAGTTCGCGTAGTCGGTCTTACTGAATTCCCCGGCCGTCGTTGATGCAGATGGCGGCGGAGGATGGTATGGCCAGAGAGAAGACGGCGGATACATCGTTGTCAGCAACGGAGTCGGCGCCGAGATCGCCGAAGAACAAGGTGAACTTCTTTTGCAGCTTCGGCGGAAAAATCCTCCCAGGCCTGCCGACGGCAGCCTCAGGTATGTCGGAGGCGAGACTCGCGTTGTGTCTGTTCCCCGCGACATCAAATTCTCCGGTACCCATTCCCTTCTCTACCTATGTGTAATATGTGCACACACTCTATATACACTTACAAAATCAGATGAGGAAATGCTTCCTGAGAAGGGGAAAAAAAAAGGACAGAATTTGATCCTCATGCGCGACGAGGGACATTCACTTGGTTAACTTCCACTGACTACGCTTATCATAAACGTTAGTATTGCTTAGATTTTTTGATTAGCAGGGGAGAACATGAAAATATAGGGTAACTATATGATTAGTAAGAAGAATAAATGTTTGTGATGTACACGATAATCTCGATCCTCTTGCAAAATCTGCAGAACTGATGAAGAAGCTCGCCAGCATAGCTGAAGGCAACATGGTTCTCAAGTACCAGCTTATCTCTGAGGACCTCGATGCCCTAATTACCGTCAAGTCCGACGAGGACATCCTCCACATGCTCGAGGAGTACGACCGCTACAAGCTCTCCTCTGGCCGCCCAAAGCTCCGTGCCTACCTATTCCCCTCCACCCCAATAATCCCAGAACACCATGATGCCATAGACGCCCGTTCTCCCGAGGAACGCTACATTGATGCTGTCAACGGCTTTTCCCTTATCACCCGCCAGCACTCCCTCAGCAGCGACCGCCCTGACTTCTTCATCGGCTTCAACTCCTCTGCCGGCTCATTCCCCAAGTCAACGGAGAGCACCAAGATTGACACCTCCCGCCTTGAATCAATAACACCAACTTTTGGGTACCCAAAAGATCTGCACTTATTCACAAAGTCAGAGCTCGCCAAGCATTTGTAGTCTTAGCAGCTATCCCCAGCTGTATCAGCAGCAGCAACGACTGAATAGTACTCTTCTGCAACAGTTCCACCATCACCAGTACTACCAGCATCATGGCGTAGGGGGCTTGCAATCACCAGAGAGGCTAGTTTCGGTGCGATCGGTGGGAGGGGTTTGCAATCACCAGAGAGGCTAGAAGGAGGGTTGCAGTCATCAGAGAGGCTAGCTTTGGTACAGTCAGTGGGTCAAACAGAGTCGTGGAAGTGCCATGTCGTCCAGAACCCAACCCGGCTTTTGAGGCATAGTAGCCTCCGAGGGAGTGGGAATCCCCCTCTTTTCTTGTAAGTCCCCAGGGTGAGGATTGGTACTGAGGGAAAAAAGAAAGATGCGGGTTTTCTTTGATAGATCGAGATCCGGATGTTCTGGTTGGTGTATATATTGTAAACTAAAGTTCTATGCTTGGCATCGAAGCAACTGCACATTGGAGCATCGCCGCGTACTGAATAGCTAGCAGTGCATTGCTCCAAATCCTTGACTCTCCGAGTCAAGGTTTTCAAATATTTAGTAATTGTTACCTAGAGTTAATGCTCTCTCTAATATTGCTTCACCTCAAGGTGCTAAACGTGACTTGCAACTTGGCAGTGGGAGAAATCCTATAGAATCTAAAGAATCTCAAAGCACCCAGAAAGATATCCTTTCTCGCGGTACTGTGGACATGCCGATCAGGAGGCAACCAATTCTCCCTCTCAATACATGCTAGTTAGGAAATTGTTCCCTTTATATCCCCGGACGTAGTCCCAGTCTGCAGAAATCAGTTTCTGAATCAATAGAAATGTCAAAATGACACTTTATATTCAATTTTTCCTGGTAAATAACTGCCAGTCTTCAGTCCTACCCGAAAAGGACTTGACCGCAACCAACATATCTGAAGCACCCGCTCAGTTTAGGACTGGGTTTTTCCCTGCCAAAGTATAAACAAATGCACCACATCCCCGTGCATTTTTCATGAACGAGGTAACAATTGAAAGAAATCATAAGGTAGAGCATCAAATAAAGGTCACAAGGACATCCCATAAGGGAAAGGCATGGAGCCAGTTTTACCACCCATTTTGAATCCAAACAGACTTACGTTAGAGGATTTCTCATCCCAAACATAAAAAAAAATAAAAAATGATCTTATAAATTAACACAAAGGTAATTTGCGATTTTGTATTGCATGCCTATCTTTAATAACCCAATTAAGCAAGCATCAAAGGTTTATGTTTAACTACCTTGAGTTCTCATTATTACATTGTTGGTATCAGTTTATCATATTTCAAGCCTCTCCAGTCCCTGTCACATTCCCTCACTCTCTAACAGAATCAAACCCTCAAACAATGCCCAGCATCATATCCATTCTTCACAAAATGATTACTTATACACATTTGGTAGAAAAATGAGACCAAGGAAAAATCTACTGACCATTGATATAAATCTTCCTCCTGCATCTATCATTTGCTGTCAGTAAAGTCTGCATCAATGACATCCCCATCAGGTCCTTTATCAGATGATTCTGAAGGCCCAGTGCTACCACCAGGTGCAGGACCAGAGCCAGGTGCTGCCCCCGGCTGGTTATATAGGGATTGTCCAAGCTGCATAACTTCTGATTAAGGGCAGCATGGCATCCTTCATGGCCTGGGTTGAGCCTCCTGAGATGGCATCCTTAAGCTCTTTGAGTTTGGCCTCAACTTTCTCTTGACTGCACCCGGAACCTTGTCTCCCAATTCCTTTAGCTGCTCTCTTGTTTGATACACAACAGAATCGGCCTGGTTCTTTGTATCTATGGCATCTCTCTTCTCCTTATCCTCCTTGGCAAACTTCTCAGCTTCTTTAACCATTCTCTCACCTGCACAATTTCAGACTCCAGAATTACTATCCTTCAAGCAGCTATTAAGTTGCGTTGGCTTGTAAACTCAATTATGTTCAATAAATGATTGGGAAGTAGAGAATATTAAAGATACTCAAGCTTACATGAGATATTTGTCTTCAGGGTTAAAATATAATATGCATAAATCCCCAAACGCAAATAGTTTTATGGTTTTCAAAAGAATCTAGAGCAATCTAGATAGAGAAAGTTTACATAAATACTCATTTAACCTCCCTTTATTTTGAAACATCCTCACTTCTAAATCTAATTTGTTTGATCTTTATCTCCCTCCCTTTGTCTGCACATGGTGGGCAGGTCTGAAATGTGTATGATCTTTCATAGTGTCATCTATGCCACCCAAGCTAGCAACATAGAATAAATTAAATAGTAAATATAAATTATAATTAAACTATACCTCATCAGTAGGCAAGGTACTAGCACCAGTAATGGTAATATCTTGTTTCTTCCCAGTGCCTTTGTCAACAGCAGTGACAGAGAGAATACCGTTTGCATCAATGTCAAACTTCACTTCAATTTGAGGTACTCCACGTGGGGCAGGTGGTATTCCATCCAGCGGAAACTACCGAGAGATTTGTTATCCCTAACAAATTCTCTCTCACCTTGAAGGACATTAATCTCTACACTTGTCTGCCCATCAGCAGCGGTTGAGAACACCTCTGACTTTGAGGTGGGCAAAGTTGTATTTCTTGGGATAATTTTTGTCATGACACCACCAAGGGTCTCCAGACCCAGAGATAATGGTGTCACATCAAGAAGCACTATGTCACTGACATCTCCAGCCAACACACCAGCCTGTTTAACAAATGGAAAGAAATTTCGTTCATAAGGAGAGCTGATATATTGTTTAAAACACCAAATGATGTGAACCATAATACACCAACACTCCCACTACAAAAAAAGCTCAGACATTGAAAGTGACCATGCCAGGCACAGAAACATGATTTTATGAAAAATATTGCATTGTACATAGGAGGAAAGTCGTATAAAGGACCAACCTGAACTGCAGCACCAAGAAGCACAACTTCATCAGGATTCACAGAAACATTGGGTTCCTTTGCTGTCAATCTTCTAACAAGTTCCTGAACTGCAGCATCCGTGTTGACCCACCAACAAGGATCACTTCATCTAGGTCATTGAAAGAGAGTTTCGCATCCCTCAAAGCAGTTTCAACTGGGGTTTTAAGCCTAAGGATAAGGCAAAAAACTCATCAGACTGCCCTTCTGACCATACATAAATCAAGTGTAAATAATAGCTATCAAAAATGAAGAAAGGAGGGAAGGAAGATGCATAAGGGCAGACAAAAAAAAAAAAAAAAAGAGGTTGATTTTTCCAATGCAAACCACAACGACACTACTTGTGAGGCACTTTGTTAACAATCAAGCAACTCCAATTGGTGTAACATGGGATCTACTTAAGAACCTGATTGACAAGCTATAATTACCTGTCAAGCAGATCAGAACAACTCTTCAAACTTTGCTCTGGTAAGTGTGGTATCAATATGTTTGGGTCCATCTGCAGTGGCTGTGATGAAAGGCAGACTGGACAAAAAGATACAAAAAGATCACTGTTGTCATTTATATTCATGTAGAAGAAAGAAATTAATTAAAATTATACACAGACACACAGCAGTTACCTAATATTTGTCTGTGTCAAAGTTGACAATTCCATTTTAGCTTTCTCTGCTGTCTCAGTTAAACGCTGTAGAGCTTGTTTGTCCTTCAAAGATCAATGCCTTCATCTTTCTTAAATTGGAAGCAAGCCAATCTACAATTCTCTGCAAGAATGTTAAACTAGATTACATTCAGCAAAAAGTCGCCAAAAATATATTATACATTTAAGCAGCAATATATTAAGCCAAAAGTGGTTTATAGCAGGAGATTAGAATGCAAACCTTGTCAAAGTCATCACCACCTAGATGCGTATCACCAGAAGTAGAAAGCACTTCAAATACTCCATCACCAACCTCAAGGACTGTATTTTAAGGGAAATAAAAGAACAATTAGTTGCCTAGATTGAAGAAAGATGAATCTCTCATAAGTTGATATATCTTTAATGCAGTATCAATAAATCTAAAAGCTATTTCTATTAAGGGAAAAAGAAAAACAAAAATCTGACAACTGACAACGGGCATATGCTTCTATTTCATATATCTTATTGAACTGCGAGGAGAACCTGGCAACTGGAAAAGAGAAACTGATTGACCTTACTTGCTCAAAACAAGTTGCTAATGCACAGAGGCTTACACTCTGTAGTTTCAATACAATGGGCTCAAAGTGAAAGAATGACATGCAAAACACCAAGAATAATTCCTGGAAGTATGAGAATACACATAATTGCATGTCATAATAACTCAAAACCGTAAATCTTATTTTCCTCCTTTCACATTAGCTGTTCATGACATGGACCAAAAGAAGTTTTAGTACATAACAGAGCTTTATGGCACTGAAACAGGAAAGAGTATGCTGTGAGGTAGTTACACTACCTGAAACATCAAAGGTACCACCTCCAAGGTCAAATACTAGAATAGTCTCATTGTTCTTCTTTTCAAAGCCATATGCCAATGAAGCAGCGGTGGGTTCATTGATAATTCGCAAAACTTCTAAACCAGCAATACGACCTGCATCTTTTGTTGCTGTCCTTTGGGAATCATTAAAATAAGCAGGCACTGTAACGACAGCTTTAGTAACTTTATCGTTCAAAAATTTGGATGCATCATCTACAAGTTTTCTCAAAACCTGATTCAAAATAAATCAACATTGTTAAACAACCATTTGGAAAGAAAATTGTGAAACCCCCTACAGGAATTTTTTCTTTCTATTTGCTTCAGTTTGCACTTTTTTCAAGGGAATCATTTACTAAAAGAGAGACATTTTATGAAAACTGCTATGATAAAAAAACTTCCTGTAGTAAGACCCGGGAAAATATTCGTATGGTTCTGTCTCCCGTACTCATTTCTAATGGAAAATGAAAGACATCACAACATCAAGATTTCCAGATTCCTTGTTATTCTCATCCTAAATTCAATCAAAACAAGTCAACAAGATCAAGAGAAACAAGAAAGTGAACAACCAAGCAACAAGAAATACATTAGTTATTCATTTTACATTTTAGTATTTTACTAGTATTTGTTAAGAATACCGGTTCAATAGAAACTAAAGGAAAGCAAAGGGAAACAGCCACTTATACGGTAGGCACAAAGGAGAGGTTCAAAATGGTCAAAAGAATATGAGCTTCCAATAGAAGGGTTAGTGAGACAGGGAAATGTGAGATTTGGTAAGTTTGTCATGTTTGGATTGGTTAAATGGAGAGAATTATGAAAAATGGTATCAAATGGCAAGGAAAGTGAATAGAAATTGAACTGTCTTTTTTCCTATCACACAGTGGTAAGACTTGAGGAGCAATGGTGCGACACCATATGAAGACATTTGTATTTCAAAACTAGCCCCTCTATGTATAAGGGAGTAGAAAGGAAAAGCAATTTGTCCCATATTTTCTCATAAATTCACAACCATGAAAGGCCAATCATCTGTTTTCTTCAATGTCAGATTAAACCATAAACATAGAATAGAAAATAAGCATATTCCTGTCAACTTAGCAGAACTTTCATATATCATAAATTTTATTCGAAGCCCGCATCCAAAAAGAAATAACATGGAAATAATCTAAAACCAACAAAAACAGTTTTTTTTTTTTTTTTTTTTTTTTTGGGGGGGGGGGGGGGGTGTTGTTGGGGGATAGATATCCATATGCAACAGCAAAAATGGGTAAAATAATATCCAATGGATAACTAGCAGTATGCGAGTCTACACCATCAGCATAGAAGTGAAGGTAATAATTACCTGAGCTGAAATTTCCTCGGCAGCAAACTGCTTTCCCATAGCAGGGCACTCGAGCTTAACATTACCGTTATCATCACGGACCACAGTGTAGGAAACCTGCTTCGCCTCCTCGCCGACCTCCGACATCTTCCTCCCGATGAACCTCTTCACCGAAAAGAACGTGTTTTCGGAGTTAACCACGGCCTGGCGCTTTGCAATCTGCCCGACCAACAAATCCCCGGTCTTCGTGTACGCTACCACGGACGGCGTGGTTCGCTGTCCCTCGGAATTTGTAACAATGACCGGCTTTTCCACCCTCCATGGCGGCGACGGCCGAGTTCGTGGTCCCAAGGTCAATTCCAACCACCTTTTCCGCCACCACCTTCACCGGCCCCACGCTAGCGCCTCTCCTTGCACTCTCTTCAGCTTCGGCAGCCGAAAAGACGCTGCACCGCCGTTCATTCGCTGGCCCAAGAACGCCGTCCTCGGACATTTTCCACTCGAGTGCTTAGAAGACGAGAGAAAGAAGTTCCACCAAGAACGTGAATCTGAGCAGCAGAAGTCCCCATTTCCTCTACCTAACAGTCAAAATTCAGAATCTATCGTCCTAGCCCTAGAATTCAACTATTGAATACGCAAAAATGAATAATATCTGAATCGAGACAGAAAGATAGACTATTAGTGTCTCGGAGAGAGGAATGAACCTGAATTTGGAGAACACTAAGAGGTGTTCAATCAGAAGATACAGTGAGGGAAGTAGCTGGAGACGTTGAACCTGTGAAGAAGATAAGAGAGAGAGACGGAGAGGGGGTTTAGGAAGGTGGAGAGAAAGGGGAGAAGGGGAGGTAGAATGTGGGTGGATGATGCCACGTGGCCGACATCTAGAAAGATCTTCTACCTATGGCCGGTTTCGAGTTTTCTTTTGGCAGGGCTTGATAAGGGGGCGTCAGATTGGACTATCGGGCTACATTTATGAGAATCGCCATGTTCTCGCACCGGATTTGGGTCCAATGTCGGGGCGGCCCACATGCCACACTTTTTTTTCCCTCGTTTTCGCTGAATTCGGGTCTGAGTTCACGCAATTAAAAAAGGTTTCTGTTGCCGGGGTTTGCACACTAGTAGGAGTGGATTGATACCTGTTCAAGTGAATTTTATGCAAGTTGGGTGTTTGAAATTTGAGAAAATTTCCTCAGAAAAGAGTCCTACCATTTACCACTCTAAGGTCTCGGGAACTTAGGTTTTCCGTTTAACCTTTGTAACCTAAAAAATAAAATCATTTCTGTTAAAATCTAAATAAAATTAAATTAATTTCTTTTTGTAATGGCACAAAAAATTCCCTTATTGTATTTTTATCTTATATAAAAATTAATTTTTAAATATTAAAGTTCAGATATAAAAATCTCATAGCATACACATTGTACATAGGATCCCTAATGCAAATCAATGGCTCCAATTCAATGTCGAGTTTCTCGCGTATATATGCATATATTTATGTATGTACCTAGACAGATATTATTGAAATTTTAACAAAATTAATTGACATGATTGTCCAAAACGAAAGCCCCAGTGCCAAAATTTGGAAAACCCAGCTTAAGTAGGGCTTTTATGGTAACAATTGGGCCGAAGGCAGTGTCTGTAAATGCTTTCAAAAATTTAAAAGTTAAAAATTATAATAAAAGTAAATTTTAATTAAAAATTTAATTTATTTAATAATATATTATAAAATTTTTAAAAATATAAATTAGTATATGAAATTTTTATAATTTATTTTAAGAGAAGAATTTTTTAAAAAAATTTAAAAATTCAAATAAAAATCCAAAACAACTTCTATATAATTAAAATAATACTATTTATATTTAAAAACACCCCTCTATAATGCTTGTAAATCTATTTCTAATTTTATTTTTTTTACTTATATAAAAAAGTAAAATTTCAAAATAGTCTCAAAATAATTTGCTGCATTAAAAAACTCAAAATCACTAGGTAGAAGCTCCTGCAAACAACCGAAGCCAACTCCGCATTGGAACTAAACATCAATCTTACACCTCCCGTTTCTAACGAGGAACTTTTCCGCCACAATGTGACCAATCACTGGAGCATGAAGAGAACCAATTTATGTCCCAGATATATATATATATATATATATATTAAAAATTAGTCTTTAACAAAAAGCTCCAAGGCATTAGCTCGGATGGAGGTTCCTCGCTCTGTGTGTTCATCTAGTCTATTTGGATAAAGCATCTATTAATGACAAAAATGTAGCTGATCGTGTCAAAATTCGTCAATTTGAAGCATGCTTGCCATGTCGTAACATAGATTGCCACACCTATATGCAAGGTACAAAAAAGAAGAGAGTACTCTGAACGTATATATTTGAAATGACAGGAAGAGTTCCACAAAATCCCACCAAAGCACATTTAAGAAGATGGGTGCTTTCTGAATTCTGTAGTTGAGTGTTGAATTTTCATGGTTTTATCTTCTTATCACAAGGCTTCTATGCACATGAGACATATCAAAAGAAAAATAAATAAAATCCAAGAAAGCACTTCACTGACAAATCAAACTCAAGGCCTCGTTGTCTCCCAATTGATCTTGGGAAATCCCATTTGTCAATCTTTCAGACTCGGAAAATGAAAGACTATATAATAAATACATGGGGCAAGGAGTAATACAGAGGTTATATGAGCCAAACTTCTGATGCAGATGCAAATTTTGAAAGACAAACCCCGAAGCAGATACTATGCGTGAAGAGCCATGAACAAATTCTGCTTTCTAGCATGTTCTGGTAAAGGCGGCGAAGAATATCTTGCGGAATGCCCGAAAGTTCTGTTAAATGGTAATAATGGAGAGGACATGAGAAGTAAAGAACCAAATGATAGTGGTTTCAAAGACTGACCGTATGCATGTGAATTTTGTGTTTGATATTTTTAGGGTCACAAAGAATTGAGAAAGGAAAAATGTGTGGAATAGTGAAAATGTTGAAAATTGCATAAGAACAATAGGAGAGGGAATTTTTTTTTTTTCCTTCAAAAAATAGAAGCAGAAGAATTCTGCTTTCAGGAATTTAGTAACTTCTGGAAAAAATTACCGAATACTGGACAATTATGAAGTATTGAGACGGTAATAAAATTTTGTTGCCAATAAGGTTCTATTTCAAATGTTTTAGCATTTTAATTTCAACATGAACAAGCATCCAAGTAGTACTAATTCTCAATCTCACTCTTAAAATATGATACAGGACATGATGCTGCAATAACTGTGTCAAGGAAAAAACTTGCCTTCAGGTTTGAAATTGAAAAGGGGGGGAAGAGGGCGACCATTGGGAAGACGAGTGTTGGGGCCCTCAATTCATCATAAAGAATGGATGAACACAAGCTTCCAACTGCAGTGCAATCACATAAAAATACAGTGAGCTATATCACTGCCGTTTATTTACTTTGAAATTGTATGAATATTGAACATACCGCAGTGCATCTCAAATTGGGGGAATACTGGAAAAACCTGCACACCAGGTCAACAGCTTCTGGAGGCAAACGCTTTTGGAAGACCTGGAAATATATTTAAACATTTTTTGATCGGGTAAATAAATTCAGATGAAACCTCCATCTGAACGCAAATGCAAAAGCAAAATGCACCCATAGAAAGAAGTTAGAACTCCAGTTGTAACTGTTAGGAATAAAAATTTTCATGTCAGCAGACTTGCCAAGCAGGCCAAATATTTTACATGGTCCATCTTAGCAATTTTTTTTGGCCATTAATCTAATCCCCATTAAAAGCAAAAGAGAGAACTGACCATGAACTTGTCCAGAAATATATCAAATCAAAATGCTAATATTGGATTTTTCAAATATGGGGTTAAGTGGGGTTTGGACTTACTCAAAACCTGGGACCCCCTTACTGCTACCCTACTCCCACCCCCAAAGCAGTGGATTTAGGCAAAACCCACCCATGTGGTCCCAAAAACAAAAAATAACAATAACAATGAAAATAAAAATAACAACACAAAAGCCAAAAAACTTGAAATGCAATAGAAGGGTTATGAAAAAGGACACACACACACACACACACATATATATTCCGTCATACATACATACATACATGTATGTATGTATGTATGTATGACGGATACATTTTAATTTTAATTATAACCTACTTTCAAAATTCCTGTATGATCAATTAACAGAACTTACTTTTTTCAAATATTGTCCCAAATCCACTCTCTCCAAACTCAATTATTCCCAAGCCCACTTTGCCCAAACTCACTTTCTATCAAACGAGCCTAACTGTCAACATGAACATGTAAATGGTTCACGGTGTCCTATAAAATCAGCAAAACCTTCAAAGAAAGAAAACATGATCCTTAAGCTCGTAGACAACATAAGAAGTACTTGTTCACTCTCCATTTAGTGCACTCTCAATGTGTGACCTTCCAATCCACTATTTCTACAAGGATGCCATCCACTGGTTCATACGATCCCCAACATTGTAACTACAGATACCATTTCATAGCAAATGTTGGCAAACTTGGCATTAGCACCCAACCAAGTCCTTAAATGGTCAACCAACAAGTAAGAAGAACATGTTTACAATCCTGATAGTAGCGTCAGTTTTAATTTTGTATTGAAATTAACAATGCATGTCCAAGTTGAATAATTATTTATCCCAATTGTTAACAACTTTAAGATGTGGAACTCTATTCAAAATAACTTGAATCAATCACCCTTGGCTGCAAAGAATTGGCCTCAATTTCATATTCAACAGTTGCAGTTTGAACTTTGGACAACAGCCAATCCATCTTTTGCATTTGACTCTCTATCATCTTCTCAACCATACAATTCACTTTCTGTAGGAGACAGATAAACTGTTATTCGAGGGATGCACCACTTTGATGATTGAATAGCCCTTCATTTTCATGCTTAGCTTAAATGAGTTGTTACTTAAATTTGACAAAGAGTTTAAAGGTTCCCGACTCCTAAATCACAGATGTCCAAGATGATGCCAACCAAAATATATCTCATTATGAAATCCAATGAAAAGCACTTAATTATACGAGGAATAATGGGACTAGTTGGGCCACATGACAATTAGTTCCCATAGCCAATTTCTGGGTTTCTGCCTCCTATAAACAGAAACAAACATAACTTGGAGATATCCCAAGCTACTAGTGGTTCAACATATGTGAAATTCATCCATGAACCCCTCTTAACAAGTTGCCCATAAAACTTCAGAATCATTTGATGTGTGATATTTCGTTGACCTTCAACTTGTACCAAGAATTTTAGTGGAAATACCATAAGACACAAAATCTAAAGTATTATTTTTTGTTAGATAAGTATGATGGCAATATTGAAATATTTTTTACATGTACTTTTAGATACTATCTTATCACTAGAATTAGTAGGATATATAACAAATTTGTAGAGTTCTATCTTTCATTGCAAAGTTGTTTTAACATAGACAGCTGGACTATGTTACTCTATCCAGTCAACAATA